CCACTGGCTCATCGTCCTGTGATATAATTTCTTTTTACTCGTATTCAACTTCCTTGCAACTTCCCTGTGTCCTTTAACCTTTATTTCTTTAAGGTATCAGCCGAAGTCTGCAGAAGGGTACTGAATCCTAAGAAGTGGCTGAAGGCCGAAAGGAGAGTCTCCAGCACACTAGGAAATTCTTACCAAATTTAGTGAAACAAGTTTAGATGTTTCTGGAAGGTTCGTTGTAATTTCAGTTTGGGATTCACATCACTTTCAGGCAGGTTTTCCATCTCTTGCAGGAATGCCCCTTTCTGTTGATGCTTTCCTTGAATCAAGAGCCACACAATCCATACTGAAAGGCTGACCCAAGAGGCAACATCTTGTGGTAGCAAAATTCTTGAACAAGGAAAATCTAGACCAGTGTTAACACCAACTCTACAGATGAATCACTCTTTTATCTGGGCAAGTTTTTGGGTTTTTTTTCTTTGTTTTTTCCCGGTGCCAGGAATCGAACTCACAACCTTGCGCTTGCCAGGCAGGCGCTGTGCCGCTGAGCTTGAGCTAAATCCCCAGCCCCAACCTGGGCAAGTTATGTGATCCCTGATACTTACATCCTTGGTTATATGTAAGATACAGTGTTCTTTTCTCTGATGGTGCTCAAGACTGTCATAAAGATCACATGAAAATACTTTAAAAGGAGGCCCTTCCTCCCTCCCCTCCTTCCTTCCTGTGCTGAGGGAATGGGACCCAGAGTCTCAAGCATTCCAGGCAAGCATTCTACTAAGGCTCATCTCCAGCTCTGACAGCACTTTAAAGCCTGCTAATTCCTATGACATAGTACACAGTAAAAGTAATTCATCATGTTCTTATGCCTGGCGTGGTACGTATCTACATTTCTTTGGCCTTTGTGATAAGTATCTTTATTTCTGCCTGAAACTTTAGAAGTAAGATTCTGCCAGACATACACACACCTCCTCCCCAACCCAAATGTGCTTTTTATAAGCCTTCGTTCTTTTTTCTTTTTTATGTATTCAAAAAATATTTCTTATAACTTTTTATTTTATTAGCACATGTCCACAATTCGTGCCATTTACAGCCATCTTGGGAGTGGTTACATGTACACAGGACAGTTCCTTTCTTTTTTCTCTCCCCTTGCCTCCCCCGCCCCCGATTCCCACACCCTTTTGCATACTTTATGTTATGACAAACCGTGTTTACATTAACTGGGGTCACTGGCTTCAAGTACACAGCACATCTTTATTATTCCCCTTCCCTCTTCCTTAGCCCTTGCCCTTGTTCCCTTGAACCACTTCCCTATTGCAGGAGAGTTGACCCTTGTCCCTTTTATCCACCCTTTACATATCCTTTGTACTTTGCCTCAGATGAGAGATACCATACAGTATTTAAGCATGTGTGTCTGCTTTATCTCATTTACCATTGCATCCATCTTCCTACAAATTTTTCAAAGGCGTCATTCATTCTTTATAGTCAAGTAGTATTCCATTATATATCACTACCACATTTTCTTCATCTAATCATTTGCTGCTGACTATACAGGCTGCTTCCAGGATTTAGCTATTATGAATTGTGGTGTTATAAACACTGGTGTGCATATATCACTGTAGTGCGGTATCTTAAGCTCTTTGAGGAAGATAGCTGGGGGTGGGGGGAACAGCTGGGTCATATGGAGTTTCTGTTTTCAGTTCTTTGAGAATCTCCATGCCTGGTTGTACTAGTTTACGTTCCCACCAACAATAAAGGCAGGCTTTTCACCTTAGCCACGCCAGCATTTGTTAGTGTTTGATTTCCTAGTGACTGCCATTCTTTCCAGAGTAAGATGGAGTCTTAGCCTTGTTTTAATTTGCATTTCTCTAATAAGCCTTCATTTCTTATCTTTGCTTTGCTTTTCTTTCAAGGATGTGCCTGGATCACCCTGACCTAAGAGTGAATGTCTCTCCTGGTATCCTCGGGGACTGTCCCCAAGGCTGAACTTCAGCAGCACAGCTGCCACTTGGCCCAGGATTGTCATGTGGCCCCAGGCTGTTGGCTCTTAGCATCTCCTGGCTTAGTTATTTAGTCGAGTGTAAGTTATACCTCTGTAACTAGAGTTTCTTTGAAGGTGGGGCTGTAATTTACACCTCTGCAGCCTCAGCTCAGGCAATATATGTTCACTCACAGTGACTTCTGGGGATGTACCAGGTTAGTGTTCTCCCAGAAACTCTTATCTATCTAGAACCTGTGAATGTGACTTCCTTTCAAAACAGGGTCTTTGCAGATAGAAACCAGTTAAGATCAAGTCACACTGGATGAGGATGGGCCTAAATCCAATGCCTGGTATCCTTGAAGAAAAGAGAAATTTTGAGACAGAGGGAACACAGGAAAAGAAAGCTATGGGACAGTGGCCTTGTTGGGCAGAAACAGAGAAGAGGCAGAAAAGGGTTTTCCACTGCAGCCTTCAGAGGAACCACAGCCCTGCCAGCACATGCATTTCTACTGAGTTAAGTCACCTGGTTTGTGCTGGTTCATTGTAGTAGACCGGGAACTGATAAGGACATCGGCAAGCCTACTGGGAGTGGCCCTTCTCCAGGTGCTGCCCAGCCTGGGCAACTTGCTTTCAGAAGACCTGGGGGCTGGGTGGAGCAAGGTTTTAAGAGATGAGGGTGGTAACCGTAGGCAATGAGTGGAGAAGAGAGGAAAGAGCTGGGTTTGGTCTGAGCATAAAACAGTTCAACATAAAGTTTACAAACCTTAAGCGGTAGGTCTTCCTAAGGTCCCATCACGGAAATGACTTGCTTCAGGCCAAAGCTGTTAGTCTGAGAGTTGGAGCCCGTAAGCGAACGAATGTCCACTTTGTGGTATGATATGCTGTATGCAGAACAACACTGACCTAGTTGGGAGGGATGCGCACGTGTTTCCCAGGCAGCCTGCTTGAGATAACGGGAGGCTCTGCCGCGGGGGCCTATGACGAGGGTCAACTCTTTTCAATTCCAGGCCCAGGCCTGGGTTCCCTCCGTGATTAAGAAAGAGCTCGGTATCCCACTGGCCACCTGGGTCTGAGTTCTGGCTCGGACACTTACTGGCCCTTTCCTCCCCCATTTGTAAAATCAGAATAACAATAGCACCCCCACCAAAGGTTGTGGGGAATGCAAGGAGTTCATCTGCATAAATGGTGTACAACCTTGAGCTGGAGGGGCCACAGGAATCTTACTTCCTCCTCAGGCGGGAGACCTGGAGAAGTAACTTTACCCACTCCTCCCCGAAAGCAGAGGTCGCACTGGAAGGAGGGAGATGAGGGCCAAGTCGGCTGCTGGCTTCCAAACTAAATCAGTAAAATGGATATGAGAACATCTGCACCCGGGCAGAGTGGAAAAGTTCTTTTAAACAGGCAGTGTAGGCCGGGCACCAGGAGTAAAGGACGGTCGGAGGTTGCGCGAGGCCGCCTTTTGGGATTCGCCGGATCATACCTGGCTCCCCATCACCCGGCCGGGCGTATCGTTGTCCCTCGCTATGCAAGGATGGAGGGAGTAGGTGATTAACGAGCAGGACTAACCTGCCCGGGGCACGGCAGACCCTGGGGTCCCCGGAGGCTCCCGGTGGTGCACAGGCAGCACCTACACTCGCACCCCGCGGGGCCGGCCCGGCTGCCCGGCGGGTGGGTGCGCTGCGGGAAACCACGCCCGCCCGCCGCCCCCACCTCGCCGCGGGTGGGGAGGGAGCCCAGGTGGCCGGGAGGCACCGACTGAAAAGCAACTTTTACCCTTCGCGTTGGACGAAAGGCTCCACCCTCCCACGCCGTGGCTGACTCCGCCGGCCGCGCGGGGCGGTCCGGCTCTCGCCCTGGAAGCCGGCGGTGCCCGAGCCGCGCAGCCGGCG